GCACTGTTTGGGGTTTAGGGTTTAGGGTTTAGGGGTTTAGGGGTTTAGGGGTTTAGGGTTTAGGGTTTGGGGTTTGGGGTTTAGGGTGCTTAGTAGGGAATGGGGGAATGGGTTATAGGGACTACTATACGGGACCTTAAGGGACTATCATAGGGATCCATTCCCCCATTCCCTACTAAGCTCCAGACAGAAGATGTTGTCTTCTTTTGCCGAGATGGCATGTGATGCTGCCATGTAGGCTGCTATGTTCCACTGCCGACAAGTAGTTGGCGGCTTGTTTCCAGAAGCAAATTCTCTTCTGTCGCCAATACCCAGGCCAATCACGCAAAATGCCAATGTCCATCCTTGCCTCTCAAACCGCAAACGCTAAGCCCTGAAGCACATGTCCTAGAATCAGTGAGGGAGGCATTCGAGCGCAAGAGCCTTAGTGCATTGCCTCGCAACCGGAAGAAGCCCGTGGATCTTTATGAGAGCACATGTGCTGAATCAAAGCTCCTACCAGGAGTAACCCTCAACTTTTACGTTACACTTTCCACATGTCCAGCCGAGCAGGAGGGCGTCTCCCGCCAGAAGCAGGGCAAATCTAGACGCCCGAAGCCCGTCGAGATTTGGGTTTGTTGAGATTTCAATACTAGGTTTGAATGTAGAAGTAAGTCCCTGGCCACTTGGGGAGGCATCTGTTGCAGAAGAGGGTCTTTGCTGATAAGTGTAGTGGCAGCAGCCGCTTGTTCTTAAGAATGGTTTGATTCCTGGCCTTAGGCTACCTGAGGATACTCGCTCTGCAAGTCTGCATGGACTACTTCACAGCTGCTGCTTGTTTGATCACCGGTCACCAATTTTTGTTGTTTTACACTTGGAAGCTGCGCGAGTCTCCCTCGCAGTGTCAGTATTTCAGCGGTTTCGATTACATATCTATATATATATATATATAACTATATATAAGATAGATAGATATAAATATAAATATATAGATATACATTATATACGCCAGCCTCTACCGAGGCCAGCACTCCCAGATTGGGGACACTGGGAGCCTGTCGATTTCTGTGGCAGGACTGTTCTGACCCTCTAGGCTGATTTCGACTATCCATCGAAAACCTTCACAGTTCACCTGCCATTGTATTTACAAACCCACACCCATTTTCGGGCATATCAAAGCATGGTAGAGCAAGACCTTGACCGCCATTCCTGCAAAACTGTTCAAAGGCTAATAGCTGTATGACCCCCCATCCAATAGACCCTGACATAAATCGGAAGCCTTCGCCCTATGGCTCAGGCATGTACCTGCTGGGCGATGCCCGTGTTGCGGACAACCGGCCCGATCTGCACTCTGCTTGCAGATGATTGCTTTGCGTCGGGGTTTAAGATTTAGGATTGTGGGGTGCTTGTAAGGTTGCAGAGCGCTTGAGAGGGTGTTGGAGGGTCGGTAAGGGCTTGACAGGGTCGAGGTTGGTTTATGGTTTGCGATTCTGAGATTGAATAGAGCTGCTTGGCTATTGCAACAACGACGACGACAACTTCTCTGTGCTACGTGGTAGCACAGGTTCCAGTACTAGCAACGGAACTTGCACCAGTAGTAGTAGTAGTAGTAGTAGTAGTAGTGATAGTGGTAGTGGTAATAGTAGTAGGTAGTACGCTAGTAGGTGTAGTAGTAGTCGTCGTCGTAGTAGTCGCAGTAGTCGTAGTAGTCGTAGTCTTAGTCGTAGTCGTAGTCGTAGTCGTAGTCGTAGTCGTAGTCGTAGTAGTAGTAGTAGTAGTAGTAGTAGTAGTAGTAATCGTCGCAGTAGTCGTCGTAGTAGTAGTAGTAGTAGCAGTAGTACTAGTAGTAGTAGTCGTAGTAGTAGTAGTAGTAGTAGTAGTAGTAGTGTCGTCGTCGTCGTCGTCGTCATCGTCGTCGTAGTAGTCGTGTAGTAGTCGTAGTAGTCGTAGTAGTAGTAGTAGTAGTAGTAGCAGTAGTAGTAGTAGTAGCAGGAGTAGTAGTAGTAGTAGTAGTAGTAGTAGTAGTAGTGTCGTCGTCGTCGTCGTAGTAGTCGTAGTAGTAGTAGTAGTAGTAGTAGTAGTAGTGTCGTCGTCGTAGTAGTCGTAGTAGTCGTAGTAGTAGTAGTAGTAGTAGTAGTAGTAGTGTCGTCGTCGTCGTCGTAGTAGTCGTAGTAGTCGTAGTAGTCGTAGTAGTCCTAGTAGTAGTAGTAGTAGTAGTAGTAGTCGTAGTAGTCGTAGTAGTCGTAGTAGTAGTAGTAGTAGTAGT